CCTCTCCCTCTCCCTCTCCCTCTCCCTCTCCCTCTCCCTCTCCCTCTTCCTCTCCCTGTAAGACCCTATCTTAACACACAAACAAACAAAAGAGTGTGGAGTGAGGGAGGGGAAATTGTGGTGGGACAATAGCTGCTAGAGCAATTGTGCAAATTAAAAGACTGGCAGCGAATGTGGCTCTGTGGTAAAGTGTGTAGCTAGATTAGTGAGGTCCTGAGTTCAAGTCCCAGTACTGTAAAAATATTAAAGACAACCAACAATGTTTTCTTCAATTCCATTCAACAAACACTAAAGGTAGAAATCAAAGCCCAGGAAGCATGATATGAGGAGGAGAACAAGCCCTCTGTACCACGGTAGCATTACATTAACAACTGTATTCATATTCCCCACCCTCTCATTTTGGAGAGAGTTTCATGTAGCCAAGGATGACTGAACACTGGATCCTCTTGCCTTTGTGTGCCAGCTTAACACATGGAGGTGCATGCCACCATGCCCAACTGTTACCCTAATATTAAGAAATGACTTTTGGTAATAGCTTAGCAAAGAAATAATTTAACTTATCTTAGCATAAAGCAAAATAATACAAATGAGCTGGACAGTGGTGGCGCACACCTTTAATCCCAGCACTTGGGAGGCAGAGGCAGGCGGATTTCTGAGTTTGAGGACAGCCTGGTCTACAGAGTAGTTCCAGGACAGCCAGGGCTACACAGAGAAACCCTGTCTCAAGAAAAAATAAATTAATAATAATAATGCAAATGAAACAGTTTCTCTTAATGGAATTCTGAGTACATCTTCTACAGACCTTAACTTCTGTCACTTGTTACTATGTTTTCCTCTTTAAGGAAAGGAAAAGCCTAAAACAAAGGTTTTCATTCTTTAAACTAGCACTTTTAACACTCTGAAAAGCATCCACAAAGTGAGAAGTCTGATCTGCAGCTCTCCAGCCTGCAGTGGGGACCTCTAAGTACAAACTCTCAGAGACTAAGGCAGGGGGGCTGTATGTTTGAGGACAGCCTGTGCTATAGACTCTATTGAAGGAGAGGGGTGGGGTTAAGTATTCTTTCATGAATAAAAGGTACAATAGAAAACACAGAAATGTATCAAGGGCTAAGTTGGCTTCCATTTCCTGCACTACAGCAGGGTGGATACTCTGGGTAACTCTAGAAAACAAGAAAGTGAAGACAGTAACTCAGAAATCCAAGAACACAGGCTGTAATTTACAGTGTTGGCTTCAACCAAACCTGAATATAACAGTTTTCCACAATATATTCAATAATGGGAGGAAGAAAAAGAAAATACAACACTAAATAAGGCATATTGATATTTAATTCAAAGTTAAAACTGAAATGTTAAAAAATACAATTCATTTAAACATAAAACTACAAAGGATACAATATGCACACCTTTGATCCCAGCA